TAAGGCGTATGTTCTTTCCAATTTGTTAGCTGGTATGATGTTACAATGACGAATTTAAGAATTACTCAGCTTAAATTCCAATATTATTGGTAACAGAAAGTCGATCCTTCAAAGGCTCTTTTACATAACCGTCTGTTGTTATGTCACTCTTTCATTGACCATGCTTTTTAAACAATCTGTCCTCTACACCAGTCGCTGCAGCAGTCGATGCCCCTCCTGAACGGAGACTATGCAGTCCAAATTGTTTAGTATCTAAGCATTTACTCTGTAAGCTTGAAAGAAGTATTTCCCGAGCTCTCTTATATGACAACGGACCTGTACGTCTAAGTTTATAACTTTTATCAGATTTACAAAAAATTATAGATCTAAATATAAATTCATTAGAATTTGATGTAATGCTAGTTTATTTGAGATATCGTTTAAACATAGAGACAGGTCAAGTTACAAGATTTTTTCTAGAAATAAACACATCCCTCCCTTCTCTTTAAATATCAGTTTTACACTTCGCCAAATATAAATTTGCGTGTATAGAATAAGTCAATGCCTCTCAAACTAACTAGTTCAGAAAATCTTAAAAAATCTTAATAGCTTAATGAACACACACAAACAGTTCTTAAATCTTTAAAATTACTATCAAGTTGACCATAAATATAAACATTTTTTTGCAAAATGTCTGGTGTAATAGAAACTTTTGTTAATGATAACATGTCCTTATTTTTTCTCTGTGCTCTTTCATTAACAAACGTTACTAATTTAGAGTTTCATTGATTATTACATCCAGCCAGTTTGTGTGCGCAGCAAATGGCGTATACTAGAATTACTTCATTTATCTTACTAGTCGATTTTGCACTCTATGAAATGTGAATCGAATATAACGAAACTGTGTAATCAGATGATGGTAATGGAGTCATATTATGTAATTTAGTCCACTTATAGAAAGTATTAAAGGCATACTGGTACTTTTTAAGAGTGTTTAGAGAACGTGAGCTCAAGCAATACTCTGGTATTCTAGCTTTTATGTAGAAAGTTCATCCGAAAAATCTGAATTCTGTATCCATATACCAACTATCTGAAAAATGTGCACACTAGAGCCGTGTTGAATGCAACCATGCTTTCTACAATGTACATATTCACTAAGGCCTTCTCAACAACGATATAGCCTGCTAGAATACAAATTCGTGTACTAGGGTCTCGTCACTTAAACCTTGCCGGCTACAAAACACATTAGTGCACAAGCGCCTTGTTATCCTTGTCGCATCTAATTTTACTGCCAATACTGGAGCAATAACAGGCGCAGTGCCAAAAATTGATTTTCTATTAGAACCACTGACAAAAATACCGCTTGTATTTTTTAATTCAATAACATCAGATATGTAATATCTGTAATTCATATTTTTATCAAAAATAAATGGCCAATAGATCGCAGATATCCAAGTTGGTACAATTAAAGACCCTTTATCTTTACAAGCAATTACATGTTTTATAGCTCTCAACACAAGGTAAAAAGCTGGTACAATCCAAATGTTTTCACCAGAACAATTCTGAGTAAATCTTCTGTATTCTCATTACAGAATTTTTTCTCTAATCTCTGAAGTTTGCGTTACGAGAACTAGCAAAACAATCGACAGTATAAGGACCCCAAAGGTCGTTAATAAAAGTAAAGACATTTCCTGAAACACCCAAGTCTTCATAATCATGCATTTTACTGATATAATCAGCTTTCAAATTTTCGCCTCTCGGAATCCATTGTATGTTTATGGAGATTCCCTTTTTTTAAACAAATAGAAAACATGGAAATTGCTAAATCTTGCAGTTCTCATACTTCCTGTTTGAACAATTCGGACACCATTTTGATTACCAGTTAGTCATTTTAAGGAATTTCAAGCAAATGCATGTTGATGAGACATCAACGCCAATTCTATGGCCTTCAGTTCCCTCAACGTTGAACTCTCTAACATTTCAGCGGATTTCCACATAGTGTGAAAAATTTTACTCTCCCATTCTACTTTACATGCTCCAGCAGCTATGCTGTTAGCATCAGAATATATCATAGCATGCGACTGGCTATCATGATTTAGTGTTTTAAAATTGGCAATGTTATCAAGCCAGAACTTTAATTCTGATATTAAAAAACTTTTATTTTCTAAAACTAAATGACTATCGCATGACATTCAACATTTAATTGACACATAACAAAATCTAGTCATTATTCTAGTTATATTTCCAATCACAGGAGACATACTTGTTATTCTACCCATTACTTGGGCTAAATTTTGGGCAGAAATATATGCAATTTCTCTGAAAACATTATGATTAGATTGTTATAATTCGTCAATTCTCCTTTGAGGAAAGCATAAAATTAAATTACAAGAATCCCAAATAATTTTAAACCACTCCAACTTCTGTACTGGAGTAAAAACTGATTTTTCCTCGTTAAGACGAAAACCCGCATTCAAAAATGATTGTTACACGGATTCAGCATCTTTGATACATTCATTATTGTCGTTATTCATACCAAATCCATCATCTAGATATAAAACTATGTTTATACCATTGTTTCGTTTAATACTTGACCAATAGTCTGAGACACTTGGTAAATATGTAAGGACCCGTGGAAAAACCACATGCTCAAACTGTTAAACGATAAAATGTATCTTCACACGAAAAAAACCCAGATACGTGTGCTGTTGTGGACAAATATCCAAATGAAAATAATCAATTTTCAAATCAAATTTATACAGATAATCATTTTTCTGAAAGTATTGCACAGCTATTTTCCAATCTTCAAATTTGATCTTTTCTTTTTTCACCGGTAAATCCAAAGTGCTAAAATCTAAAATAAGTCGCATACACTCAGCGGATTGACAATGTAAGTTTGAAATGGGACCTCAATAACGCAACCTGAAGGAATAAGTTTATTTACAGTTTTGCTAACAAATTCATCATTCTGAAGAGCAGATTAGTTTTTTTTCATGTACATGCTTGAAGGACTATCAATTAATTGAATAATATATCCATTTTTTAATGTGTCTTAAATAAAAGAATTAGCACCAATATGCTCCCAGTACTGAATATGTTTTGCTTACCTTCCTTTTACACCAGGGAAAATACCCGTGTTAGATTTTACTTTTCTTACTTTTCTAAGCAACATTTCAATATTGTGATTTAAACAATAATCACTATCAAAATCAGAAAATAAATATGAATACTTATCAAAACTAACTGTTTGTTGTTAATTATTCTGTGGTGTATTGCTGATGTTGAACTGGTTGCGTTTGAGAAGTGGACAGTTCTTCCTCCAGTGACCAAATTGTTTACAGGCATGGCACATGTCATAATGGGATGGCTCACGCTACCCGCTGCCGACTCGAAAGGGCGGCGGGTTCTGACACTGATACTGATTGCCAAAATAAAGATTAGGAGCAGTTTTAACAGGAGCTGGTGTAGAAGTTGTCTTGTAAAGATGTGAGCAACGGAATTTATCTTCAACCGTACGAATGGCTCTAGACGACGCCTCACGATGACATTTGCTTCGTATTCTCTGACAGTAGCCAAACCACTGGCTGAAGTATCTGCTATGCGTATAAGTTTGTTTCTGTCCTTGAACTTGTCTATCAGGTATGTGATGATACATGAAACCTTCGTCTCAGAATGGGGAACAAAGCTATAAACCTTAAATAACTTGGTAATAGTTCCTCTAAACTTGTATTGTATATTATTTATTGCCCTCGTGCTTAAATTCTAGCGAAACCTCTGTTTTTCACTTCTTAGAAATAACGTCCTGTTTACGGACCAAATCTGATTTAAGATCAATTAGTTTATTGTCAAAATACACTTTAAAAAGTTCAAAAGTATCGGCCAAATCACGGCGCTCTTCTACTATATGGTTGCGACTTTGTGAACTACCAGTTGAAATATGTGAATGTTCAGTCAGACCTTCAGACATTGAATTTTTTCTCTAATCTCTGATATACTCCGGTTAAGCACAAATTTACAACTTTACTGCACCAAACGTGAACCTCGAATGACAATATCTTAAATTCACACAACCGCCAAAATTATAGCTTGAAATATTTGAACAGACCTTATTTAAATATTATGGTCGGTTCTAACTCGACCAATGAAAAACATTTAACCTATTATATACTTTAAACACGTTTTTAATTATAAACAAATACACGTGGTAATGTTTACATACCGGTGTACATAACTTTAATAAATATATTACTCAACCCTCCCCCTATACATTTAGCCAATGAAGAAAAAACGCACAGTATACGAACATTAAAACTCTGTTTAAAAGAAGTCCGAGCCCTATGTCAAAATAGGTAACAAAATAAACTAAGCAAAAGGTCAATGCTACAGAAATCAACAAAGGACTACTAGCAGTTACTGACATGACAGCTCCAGACTTTTTTTTCTCCAGATTTTTTGCTTTGTACAGGTATTTCACATCCAATCTTTTATGTGAATATTCTGTACAAAGCAAAAAATCTGGAGAAAAAAAAGTCTGGAGCTGTCATGTCAGTAACTGCTAGTAGTCCTTTGTTGATTTCTGTAGCATTGTTTATTATAGCGTTGAACGTAAAAAATGTCTGCATGTTAAACTATACTTACGAATGATGTCCTTGAACCGATAATAAGATTAAGTAACTGTTTTGACTAGCTTGTGATATCGAAAACCCTGGTGTAATAATTTATCTAGCAACACTATTATTTGCGTTGCAAAATACTATACAACGTGTGTATGTATTATTACATACATGATATAGACATTTACCCATCTTATGATAAGCAAGTTATGACTAAAATAACAGGCAAAATACTCAAGATCAGTTTATTATGTAAGAAAGAAAACAAAACAAACCCTACTATATCACCGACTTTTACATGGATCAATAGTTTACCACCTTTATACGTGTGTGGATTTAATGCTTAGAGATAACCTAGTTTAAACTAACATGTGACAGGTATCGTCACTGTAGTCAATACAGGTAAATATATATAATCCGAAGTGGTTGTCTATGTTTGGTTGTTTTTAACCATTATTTTTGATTTTTGAAAGAGGAACAGTTAGGAATCAATAATTTACCAAAATAACCAGATATAAAACAATGGAATAACACGCATATAAACATAGATTAACCTGGTAAGATTTGGTAAACATTGGTATACTTCATTTTTAACTTGTGTTCACTGTTAAATATCTACATGTCCCTATGTTGATTAAACTTTGAAACAGACGGAATAATAAAGTATTTAATATTCAACCAAGTCAACTTAAAGAATATCATCAGCATGATCAAGTACTTGTAAATCAATATACCAAATGTAACTTGTAAAAGGTTAATTTCTATTTTTAGATTGTAACAAAACATTTACCTTATAGACTGGTTTGTTCATCACGACTAAGTAATAACATTAACAGGTGACTGTTGACCTATCTTTAGAAATTCAAAATGGCCCAAGCTGCAGCCTCCACTTGTGAAATATGTACTGGCGGACCAGGTGAATATTATTGTCAGCAGTGTGATCAATTATTTTGCGGAAGTTGTAAATTATCTCATTTACGCACAAAGTCTTGTAAAAACCACACATTTTCAAGTGGAACAAAAATTAACAAGGAAGAAAGGTTCCTTTGTACAGAACACGAAGAAATGTTCTTTTTCTACTGTCATGATTGTGGTACTCCTGTGTGTAGAATTTGCTCCGTAAAAAAACACAGTCGCCATTTAATGACAGACTTGGCTGAATCAACTGAGAAACTAAGATCTGAGCTAGTTAAGAATATTGAATCAAAAGTAGCAACCTCCAATGTAACCCTTACCGAAATTGAGAAAGATACAAAAGCCTACCGGGAGAAAGTCAAAGCTATCATCAAAACCATAACAGAGGAAGGGAAAAACTGGAAGAAACTCATTGATAAAAAAATAAATAGTCTGGTTAAGCTAGTACAAAATGGGGAACAAAAAGCATTACAAAGTATGTCTGTATTAACCACATTTAATAGGGAACTGTTAGAAAAATACCAGCAATTGCAAAACAATGTCAAAGAGATGGAAATAACAGCAGATGTATCTTTGGTACAAAAGCTGAAACAGATAAAAACTGATGTCGACAATATAGAAATAAAGCATATTCCCGTTACGCCTTCTGTGTCGTACATAAACCGAAAACCTTCCGTCACAGACATAGACACCCTATTTGGAGAGTTACAATTTCGGTAAGTTTCCTATTTATAAAACATTAGAAGTATAGTGTAGGGAGATAATTTTAAGGTGATCGTTGCCTTTTGTAAATACATAGTATTAACCATTTTTAAACTGTTTTTTTTTGTTGTTATAAGAAAACAGTAACATACTGAAGAATGAGCGTTAATATGACAACGACTTCTAAAGTGAAGGTATAAAATATCTGTAAAATAACAGTTGTATATGTTAATTAGTGATACTGCTTTCATTAAGAAAAGCTGCAGTCTGTTTCAAGCGAAACTGTATAAATGTTTGGACTGATATATTGAAAAAAAATGTATTTATTTCAAGATTACACATTCGTTACATAAGTGCATCAATGTTTGTGCTGTCCTGTGCTGTCTGTCGTTGATGGAAGATGTTCGTTGTTATTCTGCGGTTTGCATGTTGTGTCGACTTTTATATTATTTGTTTGTGCGTTGCTCTGTGATGAGTGGTTTTGCGTGTGTTTATGTTGTATTTCTTGTGTTGTTATTTTACCGATGTTTGTTTAACATTGCCATATAAGCGGGAGGTTTGGCTAAAAGAAGCTGTAACAAAATATATTTCTAGATTCTTATTATGATTAAGTAGCCTTATATATCCTCACATATTTAAGTAATTATACATCTACATCTTATTCGGTCTGAAATTTCCTCCTGACGATTAAGTAAAAAATGCACGTCGGACACATGCTACTTATATTTTTCTTTGTAATATGATTTCGTGGTGAAAATAATAATGTTGTTTGCAATTGTATTTACTCTGAGTTGTATAATTACGTAATTTTATCATTGTCAAACAAAAAAATATGTCCTTTAATTTGCGTGGCATCCTACACACGTATAGTTATATAACCCTCACATTTCTGTAATCTTTCCACGTATGACATGCATTTCGGATTTATGCCAATGTACTAATCTTAAACATGTATAATGTAGCATGTGTAGATTATAAAAAAAAATCAATGAGTTTAAATAATAATTTGCTGTAAATTAATTCAAGATTAGTCCACCTTATCAAAAAGTGATTTTGTGTTTTTTTTTTAGAGAAGGTCAATCATTCATGGAAAAAACTGACAACCAAGAAAGTTCCAGGTAATAATATGTATATATTTTTAAGCAAATAACATGTGAGTACACCAATTCAGTTGGACTGTCGAGATCCAATACCAGTGATTTATAAGTATAATACATTTATTATTCATTACAAATTAAATCAATGCAAAAACACAACCCAATTAATTTGTAGTCCAACATTCGATCATTAAAGGTCAATCAGAGATTGTGAAAAAAAAACAGTATTTTGATACCAAATGGAGGGTGTGGAGATATTTCAAGAATCGTTGACTTTCAAGATGCCATATACCAATAAAGAAATGTGGTAGGATTGCCAATGAGACAACTGTGTAACAAAGTTAAAAACAAATTGATGTTTGAGTGTCAATGAGACAGCTCTCTACACAGACCAAATGACACAAAAAGCTAACAACTATCAGTCACCGTGAGGCCTTCAACAATGAGATTACCCCATACCGTATAGCAGAATGGTGAATATTTATTAATAGAGAGGCGAATGAGACCAAACAGACATTCGAGCTCATAAGTCGAAATTAAACTGACAACGCCATGGCTGAACAAGAAAGATACCAACAGACAAACAACAGCACACACCTCTCATCTGCACGCTTTGCTAGTGCATGGTAAACTTATTATTTAAATGTTGTTATTTTATATTCTAAACCACGTTATTCTAATTGTTAACACAAACATTAAGAAGCATGCAATCATTAGTTACTAAACACATATATAGGTCAACCATACACAAGATCATTATATATATATATATATGTATATATATATAAACAAATCTAAATTGAAAACAACGTTCAAACCTATGATTGCGTTGGATAAAAACCGCAATTTTTATACGTGTGCATGCAAAACAAATTTCTTGGTAGAGGGGTCTAAATTCAGCACAAGCAACATTTTCCAAAAGACCAAAAAAGTGAAAAAAGTATATTTTAACAAAACGCATTTGACTAGCAGGTCGCACCACTGATGTTCTTAAACCCTGCTGACTGCCATTGGCGATTGCCAAATAAACGGATCACCAGATGTAACAAAATAGATCTTATTATTGATTTATTACCAAACAGAAAACAATAAATTTGCGGAAAAGATGGTATACCGCAAACATGAGGTGCAAACATGTGTACACCATATCCGGATTTCGACAATTAATGTCTCTTCAGTGATGTTAGGAATCGAAACTGTATTTGGAAAGCCATATCATATACCTCAATTTAGGATAGACTCTTGAATTTTGAAAGAGTCGAAATAGGATGAACGGATCATATAAACCCGAAGGCAAATATAATACAAGCCCAAACGAAAAATATAAACAAATCTAAATTGAAAACAACGTTCAAACCTATGATTGCGTTGGATAAAAACCACAATTTTTATACGTGTGCATGCAAAGCAAATTTCTTGGTAGAGGGGTCTAAATACAGCACAAACAACATTTCCCAAAAGACCAAAAAAGTGAAAAAGTATATTTTAACAAAACGCATTTGACTAGCAGGTCGCACAACTGGTGTTCTTAAACCCTGCTGACTGCCATTGGCGATTGCCAAATAAACGGATCACCAGATGTAACAACATGGATCTTATTATTGATTTATCACCAAACAGAAAACAATAAATTTGCGGAAAAGATATATATATAGTAAACGACTTGAACATTTATTATTGATTTCGGTGTATCCTCAAAACCTTTATCCAGAATTTTCAAATCTTTAACTTTAACTAAGGGATTGATTGAAAACCAGGTTGAATCCAACATTTTCTACATAAGAAAATGCCTTTATTTTGTCAGGTATATGACAGTTGTTATCCATTCGTTTGATGTGTTCAAGCTTTTGATTTTGTCATTTGCTTATGAACTTTCCGTTTAGAATTTTCCTCGAAGTTTGGTTTTGTTGTTATTCTACTTTACCTGAATATCTTGAAGGTGCATTTGACTCCACAAACAATTTGCAAATGAACATAAGATGAACAATGTTTGCATTTTGTTTAGGCTTTTCTATGATGAGTGCCTCTGGGAATATTAGTTATATAGCTAACCCTTTTAAAATAAAGTAGTGTTGTTGTTGTTTTTGTTGTTGTTGTTGTTGTTGTTGTTGTAGTTGTTGAACGTTCTTTGAGTTGGAACTCAGTTTCTCAGCAGTCTATTTCTGTCTATATTGATTATTTTTTGAAAGGTAGGTAATATAGCATGCACCCCGTCCGATGATAGTCATAAACATTTACAAAAGAAAAAAGAGTATGAATAAAATGAGATAAGGTTCATAATTTATTCAACAACATATTGCGCAACAATTGGTCTTTGTATTTGTCTACAGACTACAATATCCAAAGCTATCAGTCTCTTGGAGTAAAAAACAACAGTTTGGACTCAAGTATAATACTTATAAATTTAGTTCCTATTTCTATATGGTATGCATTTTTCTTTTAACCAAAGAATAAAATTCGAATCTTTATATATTATTAGAAATTAATTCGTTGATAATACAGTCATTGTGATAATATCAATACCCTACAAGAGCTTATGAGATCATCCCCGTTTCTTTAGGTGTTTGCATCGCTCAGTCTTTATTATTCAATTTTGTGTTTTATATACAGCTGTTTGTCTTTTGATTGTGTTTTGATTTTGTGTGATGCCGCGACATTGTCAATTTATTTTTTGCTTTTGAGGTTGAAATTACCTTTAGTATCTTTGTCTTACTTTTATCCGAGTTTTGAAGTTTTAAATCAAAACATGTTGACACACCTTCTTGGTTTATGTCTTTTCCTCGTCGTTTTTTTGCAAATACCTGTAGGTTGTTAATAATGAGGAGTAAACTCAATTTAATCATATTTTAGGCCACCATCAGTGCACAAGAGGTACAAATACATATGCACATGCTGCAAGTAAGTAAAATATTTGTCACATAGAAATTGTTGTTTCTATAGTTGTCTGAGTTGTGGTTACTGGCTTGTTGTACATGTCATTTCCAGTATGTTTGTAAATATGAAATCAATACAGTAGCATTTGTCATTGCATACATTATCATTTGTTATGACATAATAGTACATATTATAAATGTTTGAGTTTATATAAAAATTAAAACTGATTCCTAGTCATCATAATAACAATAAATTTAGACATTTACATATATCAATGTATATTAAGGGAAAGTGACAATTAAGTCTAATATTTTCAAACAAACACATACATAGGATATTTTCTATGAGCATAAAAGGAACATTGACAAAATGGTCTACAGTGCTCAGATATTCGTGAATAAAAATATATACCAGTGTGAAAAAGTTGAACAAATGATATAAATCTAAGAGTAGTATTTAAATTGGATATTACCGAACATCAACAAATAGTAAACACATAATGTAATAAGGAAAACAGAAAATGGAACCCGTTGAATTTTTAAACAAAAAAGCTTTTGATAATGTATCCCAAGTTGATAATTTCGAATAGATATAAGGAGATGTGGTATAAGTGCCAATGAGACAACTCTCCATCCAAGTCACAATTTGTAAAAAGTAAACCATTATAGGTAAAAGTACGTCCTGCAAAAAGCTATAAGGGTCACCAACATGATTAGTCAAGTTAGATATGTGCCAAATATGCTCAGGTTGTTAAGTAGTTGTTTTTGACTAGCAATAAACAGCAACATACTGAATTGACTGAATAGCTAATGAACAGTATTATATGGACTGCAAGCCATATTTCCGAGATAATTTTCTAAGTTATAACATAAATATGATCATGACTAAAACTTTTAGGTTTAAAATTGAGAATGGAAATGGGGAATGTGTCAAAGAGACAACAACCCGACCATAGAGCAGACAACAGCCGAAGGCCACCAATGGGTCTTCAATGCAGCGAGAAACTCCCGCACCCGTAGGCGTCCTTCAGCTGGCCCCTAAACAAATATGTATACTAGTTCAGTGATAATGGACGTCATACTAAACTCCAAATTATACACAAGAAACCAAAATTAAAAATGATACAAGACTAACAAAGGCCAGAGGCTCCTGACTTGGGACAGGCGCAAAAATGCGGCGGGGTTAAACATGTTTTTTGAGATATCAACCCTCCCCCTATACCTCTAGCCAATGTAGAAAAAACAAACGTACAACAGTACGCACAGTAAAACTCAGTTTAAGAGAAGTCCGATTCCGATGTCAGAATAGGAAACAAAAGAAAAAAAAAAAATGACAATAATACATAAATAACAACAGACTACTAGCAGTTACTGACATGCCAGCTCCAGACCTCAATTAAACTGATTGAAAGAATATGTCTTCATCATATGAATATCAGGCACAATCCCTCCTGTTAAGGATTTAGTATTATACCATCATAAAATATATGAGAAGAACATTACCCGTGTCATGCCAACAACTGGTTTTAGAATAAATATGTTTAATTCCGATGCAAAGACCCTATAAGTGAATCAATATTAAAGCCAAAATATGCAATCTTTAATGACCTGAAAACAGTATCGTAATTATATCCCTTCTTAATAAGTCTGTTTGTATATTTAAGACGATGTTACTATGAACTTGACCGTAGAAGAATGAAAATCATGTAGTAGAGTACAAAAAAAGACAATACATGCAACTCTTTATAATGCATAAAAACATCCAGAAATTGTCATCTGTGTCCGATGATGTGCTTTTTTTTATAATGAGCAATGTATTCATATTCATAATATTATCATCCTTATCCGGACAGAGGCGATATGTTCTTGTTGCTGCGTCACTCAAGAGTATACAATACAGTTATGATTCGACGGTGATTTTTTTAACGACAGTTTGCAAAAAAGCTATTTTACACCTAGCTAATTCAAATATGTAATAAACAAATATTAAGCCAGAATGTAATTACTATTTTAAAAATTCAGATACTTTTTATAAATTAAAGCCATGTTTCGTTAATATTTTCGACTGTTTAAAGACACGTGCTACAAGTGAATCAACACCTATCATTTTTTCTTATAAAAAAGGAAAAATGAGCACGTTTAAGACATGTAAAATTTAATCACGACTCCTGATTTTACCAGTAATTTAACAGGTAAAACGAATTATACTAAATCTTCCGAGCCTCTGGACTGTTCCACGGACAATGTCGTGTACGGAATTGAATGTACTTTGTGTGGACTACTTTATGTTGGTGAAACTCGACAAACTTTGCGTAAAAGGATGAATCAACACCGGTCTGATAATAAAGATCCGCAATTAAGGGTTCTTTAAAACCATTTTAATCAACCGGACCATGATCCTTCTTAGTCTATGGAAGTACGCATCATCGAGAATATTTATCACCACACAAATAGCCCTGTACTAAGTACTTCTTTCCGAAAAGATAGCGAAAAATTCTGGATAAGGGAATTAGGTACTGCAATGCCATATGGTTGCAATGATAATGTCAAAGGAGTAGGAAATTTTTCAAGTCCAGCCTGCAGTGATGTTAATGTAATGAGTTTATTTAACACTACCTTACGAAACCAACGTAGTCATGGGCAAAAACGTACGCAGGTAGGTTAATGCGGGATTTTATTAATTTTCTAGGCATCCCCCCTTTTTTATTTATTTTTTATTTTGAAAGAAAAATAACTGATTCCAGATTTGTTTATGTGGTACACATTGGTGATACGTCTACCAAGAAAATATTTTCTGCTGTCACACGTGGTGTCTAAGTCGTCACGTGATTTTACGATATGACTAATTTCCCATATGATTTAGCCTGTAGAACAAGTTCCTATACTAAAAATGTCGCCATGAAATTTCACTGTATGGTAAAAGATACCTTTTACTCCATAAAAACTGCTGATCGCTCACTGATAAATGTTTCCCTTTATTTTAACAACATTAAAACCAGGAATTCACGTCCGTTGTTAAAATACCTCTATTTTCATTTTAACCAAAAATTAATACAAGCGTTCAGCAATTTTCAATAAGCTGACTAATTCTTCTATAAACAACTCAAAGGATTTGAAATAATATTGCCGTTGGTAACTTGTTCTACTCGTTTGTTTGTTGTCCGCATATACCGTCTGAAATGACGCCCATTGCATAAACGCTTTACTGATCGCGGATGGGAGGTAATCGAGGTAAAACATTCCAAAGTTGCGTTTACGGGAATTTCATAAATGAAAGATAAAAACATTCTTGCGCTGTTGTTTCTGATTATATCATGCACGCATATTTAGAAAATCACGCATATATGGCAATCAATAACATTCGTTAATTATTAAAAAATACCATGCCCTTAAATAAGTACGTTTTGAAAAAAAGGGGGTGGGTGTTTCATCTTCAATATTTCACACACAATGTGAGATCTTCAATATTTCACACACAATGTGAGCATTCTTTCTTGAATATACAATTTAAAGGATTTGTATGGGTTATGCATAGTTTTAAATTTGTGTCATACTGTTGAGATACCATTCTGATGTGTTTTATAGTTTAAAATGTCAAAAAGTATTAAAGTCTATATGTAGAAGGTGTTGATCAATTCCTTTCTTACTGACTTAAAAAAAGAAGCTATTTCAAGGGTCCTCAATTATCAATTTCCTGGTTAAGTCTTAAAATTTATAACAATAATAATAAATATTGTGCACATTATGAATGAATTTTCTTGTAAAAACCCAGTCATTCTGCAAATGAAGGGTTTATTAAAATCAGAGACATTATAAGTCATATAATACATGATATTTCTCTATTAAAATGTGTAAGTTGACCTCAAGAAATCAAATCTGCTGTGAGAAATATGTACCATTCATTATCCCCTGTAACTGCTGAATAAGAGACAGTGATAAAGCCCAAAAAATATTAAAAAATTTATTTCTTTAACTGCTGAATCCATTTGTCCGAGTTTAAAACTTACTTAACTTCTAACACTAAATAAAAAAAGTACATCAAGTACTAGTAGTTAGCCCAAAAATTTAAAAAGGATGATAAAAGAAAACTAATAGCATAAAATATTAAAGAGAATTTCTAAAACATTTATTTATCTTTATATACATGTACATAAATGTGTACTTTCACTAAAAACTTGCATGTTTCATAATACTCATTGTATTATGATGTTTATGTATCTTGCCAGACATGGGTAAATAAATAATGTCTATACAATGATTTGTAATAAATCTTTTGATTTTTTAAAATCATAATAAAGTATAAATGAATGGTAAAATAGTAAATGTCTATTTAAATGTTTTATAAAGATGTCTGATGAATCTTCATATATTTCTGATCTAAATAATGCCTCACACTTTATTTTGAAAATATCAAATCCTGCTACACTAATTTCTTTCATTCAATAAATCCAAATCACATTCAAACCTTTGAAATGTCTCTGTCTTACATGTTCCAGAATCAAATTGGTTGTTGGTTCCTTGTTTGATATCCATTTGTTGTAATACTAAACAGTGTTTGCCTTCAATGTTTTTCAACTGGTTAATTTTAAATTCACTTTTTTGTATCCACAAATCAGCTTTACACATTGTTATTTAATGCTATCAGTCTGTTTTGACATCTTAGTAATAAATGTCATAAATAGTCATAAACATTTCATTTCTCACAGATTTTAAATCATCACAATATTATAACATGTTTTATGTGACAATTTCCTTTGTATGTAAATCCTCACAAGAAACAAGTACACAGTATTTTCCTCTGATTTTATTTTTATTTCTCTGTCTTCTATGTTCCAGAAACACTATTGTTCAACTTATTGATATTCATTTGTTGTCATACTGAAAATTGCATTATTCCTCAATTTTCCTTTAATTCACATGTAACATGTCATGAATTATCTTATACACAGCTCAGTAATCAGTCTTCTTTGATATATATTAAAAACTAATTCTCACATATATATTTTCTATCATTTCTCTTTTCATGCATAGATCCAGAATCATCTCTGTAGTTTTTATATGATACACAATTTCCTTTTGCTGCATTTTCAAAATCAAGGAAGTGCAGTCTTTTTCTCTCTCAGTTTCATTGTGTGGTATAATACCATTGCTTACAAGTCATCAAAGTGCTGAAAATAGAATTTTAAACAATATTTGGATAACATATACTTGATATATGAGGGTGTGGAGTTTACATAATGGAGAATAATGGACCAAAAAATTTATAATAAGAATAGAGAATAATGAGGTGCTAAAATATAAAGAATAGAGAATAATGGGCAAAATGTATAAAGATTAGAGAGAAATGGCCTAAAAAATTAAAGTATACAGAAATGAAGGACCCCATCAAGACCCTCATATATGATCTGATACAAAATAGTAAGTTTAATTCTATCTTCCTATAAAATAGCATAACAGTTAACTTCGATGTAACCTTTAAGTTAAAAATACATTTCCAAATTAAAAAGTTTCTTTAAAATAACAATATATATTATATAGTTTAAACTACATAATACTAAAAATGATACTTTCTGAGACATAATCACTGATTAACAAATATGCTTATTTATATTACTTCATCTGCACTGACTGAATGAAACTGAGGGAAGCAGTTATTTACACACAAAACAATATAATAATATCAATGCTTACATTTTGGAGACCTCTTGTTTGGCATTGTGGAAACTATGTTTTCTCTGGTTATTAGAAATTTCATTCTAATGTGTAGTGATAATCTTTCTACAAAAGAAGAAGATAACTTTACAATCATAACTGGAAATTTTCAAGCCCATAACACTCTAAATAGTTGAAAAGTGTCTTTTGATAAACAAAAGTGTCCTCCTAATCTGTACTCGACATCATAGTTACAACAGACAGAACTCATGTCAATTTTGATAGTTAATCAATATAATAATAATATGTTTATATCATCTTTTTAAAGTGCAATAAATCAATAAATCAAATGTGCTCTATGTATGAACACAAAAAGTGATGAAATAAAATGTTAATATGAGATTTTAAAACATGAATGAAATTAATATTGTTTTTGAAAAATGGTCACATCATACTAAATAATTATAAAAGCTAGTTATTTTTATATATCAAATTCGTACTTATAATGATAATTTACTAAATTTAGACAAGCTATTGGCATGACTGCACACACTGTGCCATGATGCAGTTAAAAAATGCACATTTTTTACCATGCTCTCTTTTTCTTTCTTTGACCCCCTTCTTTGTATTTGTAATATGTAAATGATTATACAAATCAAATACCTAAGAGAAAATGGGACATATTCATGATGCTTAAAGAGTAATTTGAAGATTTATGCTCAAAATATATGGAAGTGTTTTCCTCCATAATAATATGATCTAATATGACCATGGCATGTCAGTCTGACAGCACTTTTTCATAAGCACCCACATTATTTTAACACTAGTAAAGTAATTTTGACTTGCCTAAAATTATACTTTCTATAAACACTGCCTTTCGTCATTGCCGTTTTTTAAATAGCCAGAAAAACGCCAAATGTGAAAATTAACACCCCTTTTTTAAAGAAAGGTACATTTTGATCTAGATGTATCAATGAAATGAAATATACGGCCTTTGGCAGTAAAAGAATATGATAATTTAAAACAAACTTACCTCAATAATAATTAACAATATCCATCTTTGAAACGTGTGTTTACGTGATAAGACACTCATGACAAGGTGCCAGATCAGCTGATGATCACGAAGTATGACGTGCTGTGCAAGCCCAACCTTGACGTTGATGGAATGATCTAGCCAATCAGATTCCGCGTAGTTTGTTAAATGACGTTAGATTTAGATTTCGATGCACACACCGATATTCAGTGCCATTTTTTTTAAAAGTACATTAACCTACCTGCGTAACCATCGGCCTAATGTAAAAAAGTCTTCCAAATCTAGATCGCCCTCTGGGAGCTTTGATGACCTTCTTTCTCATCTTTATCATCCGCTAGGGTTGCATTACATTAGAACTATCCTTTTTTCACTGCCTGTTAATTTTCTAAAATGTTTGAGAGATTATACACTTGACAAAGGATGCATCAATACATTTTCTCCAATATACAGACTAGTCAGTATAATTTGTCATGTAGCTCTTTTCCGTCTTTTCAAACCAGTAAGATCGGAAAATTTACATGAGGAAAAGAGAAAATATCTTCCTGTTCGCTTTACCAATAGAGGAATTGATGCAATCAACATTTGCAACGTTCTACATCACAAGGAGGTAACATCTAAAATTCCTATTTATTTTCAAAATCAGTCTGTTCCTATTGTATCCTACAGTTACACCAAAACCATTGCACCCAAAGTATTTAACTATAAACAGGCATTGCAGGGCCTTGATTTAGAACAATACCTAAAAAACGTTCTGACATGTGACTGTTCCCACTCGCCTTATAATTACAGCCCCTCTGACCATGTTACTACTGGGGATCTAAACATAATTTAACATGAAAATCTCCGAAAGGTGATTTCTCATGGTCCTAAGTTTAGAGAACCCTAACATCTCAAATGGAACCATAACTTCAAAATAATTATGGATTCTATTGAGGATTACGCCAGAGCATGTGCTTAACGAGAAGAAGTTGAACTGGACACTTTGTCAGAATGGGTCAAAACAATCAGGTCTCTGATAAAACGTCGCATTCATAAGTTGAAAAACTATGTGAATGATTGACCAAAGTCCGTTTTCAGAGACAAAGAGGCTGTGTAATGTTTATCATCTCTTCATGATAAGTATAGTGTTGTTACTGCGGACAAAGCTTCAAATAATATTGTCTTTGTATGTAAATCGTATTACTACGAATGTCTTGTAAAAGAATTAGGAATAAATGAGCACTCAGGTAATCCCACATACAAAGACATATCATTTGACAAGGATGAGATTTTGGCGAATCATAAGTCCTTCATGGCTTCAATGAACATTGCATTGAACAACAAATCGGAGGACTTACCTTGTTTTTATTGGATACCTAAGCTTCACAAAACCCCGTACAAACAACGGTACATTGCCGGCTCATCTGCATGTTCCACTAAAGAATTGTCCATTACATTGACTGAAATTCTGGCCGCAGTGAAACGGGTTTTTCAGAAATACTGTGAAACTGTTTACTCGCGTAGTGGTATTAACCATATGTAGATTCTTAAAAAATCAAAAAATCTTTTAAAATCAAAGGCAGATAATGATCCTGAATTTGATAGGACACTTTGAAGGTTTTTTTACTTAGAAAATAGGGCCTGTGATCTCATATGGTCAATTTGGTATTTATAAAGTATTTCTGAAAATGATGATTCGCTCATCGAATTTTAACCATTTATATCGTTTGATGTTACCGAAATGAGGAAAAGTTTTTCCTATTTAACTCATATAAATAATTGTGATTTCGGTTATTTCAATGTAGTTAACGAAAAACAAGAACTTAAGGTTCGTCACTCCCAGATGTTATATTGAAAGTTTAAAGACCATTAACACATAAGTCTTTGACAGAAGATTAAGAAAATTAAAATGGTGGAATATTTTTACACCCCAGCTACCTTAAAAGTATCTGTTTATTATTTTTTAAACTCTGTTAGTTATGTGTCTGTTGTACTGTATTATTATTTAATATTTTCATTTGCATTTCGTTTCAGGAGAGAACAAATATTAACGTTAGTATATGATTTGTTTAAATGAATAATGATAGAAAGCATTCATAACAGTAGTCCATATTAACTTATTTTGAAACGGAAAACATATCGACGTGTGAATCTTACATATTGTCTATAAAAACAGTCGAAAACAGAGTTACTTTTGATATAAGAAGATATTGTATAAGTGTCAAAGACACAGCGCTCCCTCTGAGTCACACTGTATAAAACAAGTGTAGGTCAAAGAACGGCCTTCTAAACAGAGCATTGGCTCATATCAAACATCAAGCTATAAAGAGACGTAACTGACTAGTGTAAAACAATTAAAAAAAGAACACCAACGGTCTAATTGATACAAAAAACGAAAAACGAATAACGCTTATGAACCACACCAACAAACCACAACCACTGAACCACAGGCTTCTGACTTAGGACATGTGCATACAAATGCAGCGGGTTTTAATGTTTTAAAATCACCAACCTTCATCCTAACCTGAAATAGTAGTGTAACATTAGGGCAGAAAACGACTCACTATAAATTAATAATTAAAGACATTGTTTTTACGTGAGAGGAGAAGGAGTGATTAGTGTACGATAAAACATGATTTGTTTACAGTACAAAGATATTTCTAGCAGAGAAAGGCGCATTTTTATTAAAACAAACTAGTTGTTCATTATCACGATGACTCTTAACTTTTCGTTAAACGTCGCATGATGAAATACTCGAATCAAGCTTTCATTTCAATTTTGTTGATTTCACCTGCGTATGACGTTTAGTCCCCGAGGGTATCATCAGCTCAGTAGTCAGTACTTCGGTAGTGACATGATTTATAACAAACTTTTCTAAAATTGCCCGTTTATAAATTTTGAAATTATAAAGAAACTTAGGTTTTAACTCCCTCAGGCAAAGTTGACCTTAGATGGATTTGGCTATTTGTTTTAGGTATTTTTGTCATATAGCTCTTCAACTGTTTCGGTACTTATACATCCCTCGGATTTCAAATGTTTGGCTTTGGGCGTTCCTGATGAAGGTTAATCCAGAAAAGAGCTTCGGACGCATGAAATTATTAAACGTGTTGTTTTCAATTTTTTACATCACTGGGTCGATACCTCTGCTGGTGGACTATCAGTCCCCGAGGGTATCATCAGCTCAGTAGTCAGTACTTCGGTACTGACATGATTTATAACAAACTTTTCTAAAATTGCCCGTTTATAAATTTTGAAATTATGAAGAAACTAAGGTTTCAACTCCCTCAGGCAAAGTTGATCTTAGATGGATTTGGCTATTTGTTTTAGGTATTTTTGTCATATAGCTCTTCAACTGTTTCGGTACTTATACATCCCTCGGATTTCAAATGTTTGTCTTCGAGCGTTCCTGATGAAGGTAAATCCAGAAAAGCTCTTCGGACGCATGAAATTATTAAACGTGTTGTTTTCATTTTTTTCAAGATAAAATACACAACTATATTTAGTAAACAAAAACTGTGCGTTTTCATTTCCCTTCCCTTTTAATTCTTTCAATTTTTAATTCTTATTAAAATAATTAGATATCTGGGCGATAAGTGCTCGAAGCAATCGAAAATCAAAAATGACAACACATTGGTCAAAATTAAAACGACGAAAAAACATTCAAAATAGAATATGTACAGGAACAAAATAATTCCCCCTTTGTTTGAATTGTAGTGTTATTTGGACATGACATAACACACTTTATAACATCAATGATTTAGTGGTGTGTTTCCAAAATATTAATATTTGAATATTAAGTAAAAGGATAGACTTAAGTGGAAAGACTTCTTGTGAAATTTTCTTTTAATATTGAATTGAACCGTTATTCCAGTGATATTTCTAAAGGACAAAACAAAAATGCAAACACATGCGACTATTCAATCATACAAACTCATTAAGAAAAAACGTATGTGAATTCATTTTGCAGTAAGGAGCCTGAAACACACAGGATGAACATGTATGTATTAACGTTTTAATTCTTCTTCATTGTTTAAACATCAGTAACCCAATAGGTAATAGTACATATTTCAAAGCACATTAAGTTCTATAAATGTGTTTCTCTAATTCTTCGTCAATTTATTCCTTTCGGTACCCATTGTATGAAAAAAATTTAATGAACGTGTGGTTCGTTTGATCTCAGTTCTTCATTGGTTAAAATCCGATTATGACGTCGAATTTTCTTGCTTTCCTCTGAATTTCCTATTGTGACGGCATGAAAAAAGGCGACCATGCCTGATGACGTCACATAGAAAGAACACATCTTTTTGCAGATCATTCGAAAAGAAGGAATAAATTTGCCTGCGTATTGTTTGAAAATCATTAGAGAAACAGATTCCACCACCAAATCTCGTGTAATACGATATTTATCCACTCTCGACAGTTAAATTTTAAATATTCAAAACGCTCGGCGAGCCTTGCGTTTTAAATTTGAAAATTTAACTGTCTCGAGTGGATAAATATCGTATCACACTCGATGCAGTGGTAGAATCTATATTTCTCTAACTATAAGTTATTTTATATAAGAATGAAAGATAAAAAAATATACTGAATTTGCGCTAAATATCATAAAGAAATTGCCATATATTGTGAGGTCTTTATCTGTTTAAAAGCTGCTGAATTTGTAATGATTTGAGTTGTTTGGTCTTGTTTATATAGCGATGACATGTCATATATCAGCTACATTTACATAATCATAATTCACAAAAACTAATAATTTCCACTTCAATACAGCTTGTGTCTAACGTTTAGAAATAATATGTCTAAAATCACAGTAACTATAAACGCTTATCAATATATATTCTCATTATGCAACAAGTTATAATACCCTTACCAGACAAGGTTTTCGGAAAAAATAAAGAAATCTTAAAAAAAAATTTGGTGATCGTAAAATCTGCAATGCTATTAATTCATACGATATACCTATTTATTATCTTCCTGATAGAAGTTGTATCTTTCATTTTTATAAATCAGATTTCAACTATGATATTCTGCCCAAAATAACGGAACTAAGAACATTATTTGTTTATTTTACATAAATTCAAAAGAGAATATTCATACTTTCAAGTAAGTTTTAAATGTAAAAGAGACTGAGCACATAATACAAACAGCACCACTCTAAATCAACGATAATTAGTGATCATAAATAGCTACGGCAAGTTTCATTGTTCATTTTTTGAAATGCTTGCATTTTTTGTTCATCGTTAGTGATTAAGATTATTAGTGAATAATTATATAAGTCACAGTGTTTTTTAAGCTATCATTTTTTCTCATCTCATATTTTAGCGGTCGAGGTTTGGTAATGTAAGTATCACTAAAAAAAAAACAATAACAAAAAAAAAACAATACAACTTCCATCTCACTTCAATCAGTTGTCCTTGAGACCAAAAACAAGCAATATTTAATAATGAGCAATCAAACCATAGGCCAATATTTTGTTTGGTCTTTTTTATATACTAAAAGCTACCCTCAAAAGTGGTAATTTGACGTACAACGATCTTCCAGAAACGTGACATAATATGCAAAAAGAAAGAAGATACCAAAGGAAGTAATCATAAGTAAAATATTTTGACTACTTTGAAAACAGTCAAAAAGTTATAAACAATCGTGAATGAGAGATTACCAAATTCTTATAAAATAAAGGCAGCCACATACATGTACACATAAAGAAAAATGCAAACCTTAGTTATGTTTTTTTTTTTGTGGCAAAAACCAAACCACCTGCTTTAATTAACTCCAAATTTGCATAGCTTTATCAATATATTTGTCCTGGCTTTTTTTATTTATGCATATTTATCATAATTATTTGTATCAAATCTTTATACGGCCTATGAAAAGTTGAGAACATTATTCACATTCGTAGTCGTACATCAAGGGAGAAAAATGAAATGATGAAAATTGAAAACAGATGACAGCAGAATAATGATAATACTGAAATTGTGTTAAACTGTACTGAAGGTCAAGGGTAAATACGTTTTTGTTAAACAATGATTGATTGTTGTATCGATAATGTATCCATGAGTAAATTGCCATGGTCAGCTTAAAAGTAGCGTATAATTTTTTTCATAGCTGTTTAAAAATACCTATAATAGTAGATATATTCATTAGGTTTATTGCTGTTTAATATACATCTCTCCTGATATGAACGATGGTACATGTGTTCATAGTAAAATCAAAAATATGTTTTTCACGGGTTTTCTTTGTGTTATCATCTTTTTTACAGCGAGTGCAATAACAGCAAATGTTTCCTGTAAGTACATATATTTGTCCAATTTCACTATAAACCGAAACACATTTCCACTGCAAAAGAGTACAAAAAACATACTCACCAATAGAAACAAACAATTCGAATGACATTGCCTACAAAAACAGGTCAGATGTTTAAGTAGTTGTATCTTTAGTGAATGTAAAGAACGATATAATGTGATGTTGTGATGGCTAGTGTTTTACCATTCCCTTCTTTCTTGACAACAAACCAGCGACAGTCTGAAATTGGCAGTATTTATACTAGATTATTACTAGTAGTTATCCGAATAACTTAATGCAATGGGTCTATATTTACTCTTTTAACCTGTCAAGAATAGGTAACTTACAAATGTAAATTGATTAGTACAAGGTATAGACAGGCTACAGTAAAAAAATATCGATTTATGTTCCGACCGATCTAAAGTATGTTGTTAGGTTTTATTTGTACATTTATCTATACGGCATATAGACCTAATACTCTTTTTGTTTTACTTGCCAAGAACGTTCAATATATTTAATTGTGTTTAAATGTTCATGTTTAAATGTATTTAAAATTTTGCGGGTAAAAAAAATAAATTTCAATATTATTCAAGTACAGACACAAAAGGGTATTTGGTATCAAGCATTGCGACATTATCACTATACCATAAGAATGATAGAACATTTGAATTCCAACTTCTGTCAAAATTTAATGCATATCGTCCATGATTTTAAAATAACAAGCATTGTATAAGTAATTTCTTTTTGGCATTGGTTGATTTTATAAACTATTTTCATAAATTTCGAGTTCAGTATGTTTATGTTTTAATGTATTTTCATATGCTACTGAAGCTACAAGATGTCATCTTGGCATACTTTTAAAGACGAAGCACAGAACCCAAATACCTAAAGATTGTATGGTTGCTTGTATACAAAGTGAGTCAACATCAATAAAGGTCATCAAATGAAACGGCTGACCTTTTTAGATTTATTTTTTACTAGACTATTTAACATGTTTAAAACAAATGTAGTGTCAGCCTTAAAATATCGTATAATATTTTCTTCATTCAGACACATTAAAGCATAAGTAATAGCACACACATTTAGGCCGCAAACGTACGCATTAACATGATCAAAATGATCAAAATGATGCCGTTATGATGATTTTATATTTATATAAAAAAATATGTATATGTGTAGCCATAGTTTGATTATGTTTATATTAAAATTTGTCAAATTCAACGAAAAAATGAACGCACAATATAAAAAACCACAAAAAAACCACAAGACGAACACATTAAAGAATAGGTCAGCTACAATGATATTCACAACCAATCAAGCTTGATGAACATATTAAGTTACATTGTTCATATATTTACACGTAGTTAGACACTTTGTCAAAATCATTCGTATTCACAAATTGTTGTTTTATCAAAAAACTCGAACTTGCATTTTGAAGTGCAAATTTATTCAATCCTCGTTTGGTTGTTTCTAATAGACAAGAAATCATGCATTTTTTTGTGTTCATTTTATAATAACAATTAGATTTCCTAAAGGAAATCTGAATTACTTTCTGTATTAAAAAGGGAACACAAATGTTATGTTAAAATATTCAGAGTATTCATTTAATTTTGTAAAATAGTGTTTAAGATTCAAATTTGTTATTACCTTTATATGTACTTTATCCTTTACAGCAGGTGTTAAGTATAAAAAAAATATAAAACATCTCCTATTATAATTGATCGGAAAAAAAGACTGTTAAACTATAATTAGAAAAGCTAAAAGCTATAAAATGCAGAATTACCATCTGTAAGCTTCATTAATAAAGGAAATTTGTATCTCTTAAAATGAATAATGGAATTACAGTTTAATGATATTTCTATAATGTATTGTAGTGTGTTCCCTTCCTGGTAATAATCTTATAGTTATAGTTTAAAGTCAGTATGTTCTAATAAAAAAACAACGACAGTGGATAGGTAAAAGATCATTCAGCTTTGAGAAGCATATGCAGATAACATGGACAGGTGTTATTTTGTTTATTGAACATTGTAGTGTAAACATATTTTTGTATTGTGTTTATAAATGTCATGTGAAGTATAAGTATTTAGAGAAGAAAAAGACATAGTTATTTATGTTTTTGTGATTTGTATTGTTGTATCCATACTGGCATAGCATAAAAGTATACGTGTCGCTGTCATGTTTCGTGGTTTTTGTCAGGTTATGTCTTACATGGATCTTTCATCTCAACTGTAAACTGTTAAATGCAATAGGAGTTTGTTTTGTGGTAGTCATTGTCAGATAAACATTGCAGACTAGAATTGTCACTTGTGAAATTGAATAAAGTTTTTTTTCATTTTACAGTGTTTCTAGTTAACTTTCAATAATTTGACATTTTGAAAATCTTATCAAAGGTGAAACCAAAAACCATAAGTTGAAAATTAACAATTTCAAGCATTAAACAAAATAATTGTATTAAAACACCACACTCACTATTAATGATTGAGAAAAACGTACTAAATCACAAACTGATGGTCAGCAATCTTAGTCTTTTCCAAAGTTATCCTGAAATGAATCTTTCTTATTGAAGGTTCCTGTTGTTCAAAAACTCCTCAGGTTTGTGCATATTAAAAAATACCCGGTTTTAAAGTTGTGTACTTGGGTTTTGTAAATGACGGTGTATCAAGAAAAACGCGTCAGAAGCAAGAAATTAACAACGTGATATTTTGTATTTCCGTGAATGATCCTTTATGGACACAATGTTTCGCTCAAGTCCCTTACATTCCGCTTATATTACCTATTCGGTAATCCTATAAGCCATATTTTTGTATCAATTTTATTATTTAACAAAAAAATTACAAACTATTTTAAATGTCGGTATAATTGTAAATGTTTGTTTTACAGAAAATATAACATGTATAAGATGCATCGATTTACATTACGTACACAATGAATAATTTCTGTTCTTTTTACGTGCCTGTTTATATTTGAATAACGAGTACAATTAAGGAAAAAAGAAAAAAAAGATTTTCAGTCGGCGTAGATAGTAATCAAATGTACCAGGACTATAATTTCATACGCCAGACGCTCGTTTCGTCTACATAAGACTCATCAGTGGCGCTCAGATCAAAATAGTTATAAAGCCAAACAAGTACAAAGTTGAAGAGCATTGAGGACCTCAATTCAGAAAAGTTGTGCCAAATACGACTAAGGTAATCTATGCCTGCAATAAGAAAATCCTTAGTTTTTCGAAAAATTCAAAGTTTTTTAAGCGGGAAAGTTATAAAAATTACCATTTAATTTATATGCATGTCAACACCGAGGTGCTGACTACTGGGCTGGTGATACCCTCGGGGACAAAACGTCAACCAGCAATGGCATCGACCCAGTGGTGTAAATAGTTATCAAAGGTACCAGGATTGTAATTAAATAAACCAGACGCGCGTTTCATCTACATAAGACTCATCAGTGACGTTCAGATTAAAATAGTTATAAAGCCAAACAAGAACATAGTTGAAGAGCATTGAGGACCTCAATTCAGAAAAGTTGTGCCAAATACGACTAAAGTAATCTATGCCTTGGATAATAAAATCCTTAGTTTTTCGACAAATTCAAAGTTTGTTAACAGGAAATTTATAAAAATGACCATATAATTGATATCCATGTCAACACCGAGGTGCTGACTACTACTAGGCTGGTGATACTCTCGGGATTAAAACGTCCGCCAGCAGTGGCATCGACCCAGTGGTGTAAATTGTTCTCAAAGGTACCAGGATTATAATTTAACACGCCAGACGCGCATTTTGTCTACATAAGACTCATCAGTGACGTTCAGATCAAAAAAGGGTTACAAACTAAAACTGAGGTAAACACATCAACTATAAGAGGAAAATAACGAAACAGTAGAAACACAGAAGTGCAACAAAAAACCAAAACGACAATGCAACACACACAGAAACGAACAATAAGATAACAACTGCCATTTTTCTGACTTTGTACAGGACATTTTGAGAACAAATTATGGGTTGAACCTGGTTTTGCTACTAGGCAAACCTCGCGCTTTTATGGCAATGTTAAATATAACACCAAAAAAGACAACATCACATACAAGGACTACAGTACAAATAAATGCAAGAACATTCAAGACAGAGAACTACACAAATACACATTACAAATTAAAGGACATTTCGACATGCTAATAGTTATCAAAAGTACCAAGTTTATAATTTAATACACCATACGTGCGTTTCGTCTACATAAGACGATCCAGTGACGCTCAAATAAAAATAGTAAAGAAAGCCAAACAAGTACAAAATTGAAGAGCATTGATGACCCAAAACTCTATAAAGCCATATACGGCTAAGAGTATCTATGTCTTGGATAAGAAAATCCTTAGTATTTAGAATAATTCTTACTTTTGCAAACAGTAAATTATAAAAATTACCATATAATTGATGTTCATGTCAACACCGCAGTGGTGACTAACGACAGAATAAAAACGAACACGTAAAACATCATAGGACAGCACATAAAACAGCACAAAAGAAACATGCATTATCACCGACTGGATAACGCTACAAAATGACGTCACAGGTAAAAGCGACGTCACAGGTAAATTTCTAAAAGTTTGACATAGTCAAAATCAGGTTTGTAATTATGGTATTTGATGTATAATATAACAATTACAATTTAATTAATATAGAATTGTGTTAGTAATTAGATTATTAATTGTATTATCTAGCTATGTCGGTATTTCTTCTTAATCAAACTATAAAACAAATAAATCGTATACGTTAAGTTGCCCCAAACTAAAATCTTACAAATGAAATGGGGGATTAATTATCTTTACTTTAACATACGAATAGAATATTAAAAAAATAGAATTACAACTACAAACGATAACACATTTAACAATATCCGATCAGAATTACAAACACAACATCATAACTAAATACTTTAATGTTGGATAACAAATTACCCTGACACGTCTTATAGTAATGCGAAATCACACTCAGCAAAACAGTCAAATTCGGGATTAGGTCACGTTCGGTACTTAAAAGACCAGACGACGTAAATGGCAAACAACAATCTAAGTCGTGGTAAAAATGTCCTTTGTTAGTTTAGACAGAGACACGTCGTATGGATCAACCAATTCGTGATGGTGTCCATAAAATTTACGGAGTGTTGTTTTTAATCGTTCTACCTCATAACTTTGTTGGAGCAGTTTCTATGTAAGGAGCACACTCCTGTATATGAAGTCCATATAGTGTGAACATGCACGAACATAACTTATCAATTGAGATATGTAAACACCATACGAAGGGGCAGAGGGTATGTTACTGCTGAGAAATTGGAAATTGATAATTGGGAAGTTGAAATTGTCCCGTTTGTCATAGAATTTAGTGTTAAGTCGTCCTTCTGTGTCTATATTAAGAAAAAGATCAAGGTATGAAGCAGTCTTTCTAGAATCAGTAGTATCCTTAATTTAAAATTCACTGGGATATATGAGATGTAAGTATTGGCTGAAATATGGGTTATTCAGTGATAGTACATCATCAATATATCTGAAAGTAAAATTAAAGAATTTCGCAAGGTTCTTTTTCTTTTCTTTTTTATAAGGTTCTGAATGAATTCTGCTTCATTCGAGTCCAAAAAAAAATCGGCCAGTAGAATTGCACAATTAGTACCCATTTGAATACCGACAGCCTGTTGAAATATCAACCTTCTAAACTCAACAAATATATGGTCGATCAAAAAAACCAGCATTTTGATTACATCATATTTAATATTTCTGGTAGTTTCAGTGTGGTTCTTCACAAAATAAGAATTATTATAACCCAGAATAAAGAATTTTGTATCAAAGATTCCCAATTTGTAGGAAAAATCGCTGTTTAATGAGATGGTGAAGTCGATCTTTCAATTGAGCACGGCGAAAAGTAGTGTAAAGCGTAGAAAAATCAAAAGTATTAATGCTGCTGCAAAATTACATAGATTGTAGAAAGAATAGTACCCAGCAAACACAAAAACATCTTTAAAATGTTTTTAAAATGTTGTGTCTAATGTCATGAAAATATCACAAGAAAACGTGAGAAAAACATTAAATGTATGGTAGAATATATATCGCTAAAACGTTTTCTAATATATTTTCTAAAACATTTGCATAATATAATTAAAATGTTGTAAAGAAATATCATGATAATGTGAAAAACAATGGCGTATAAAACATTTTGATAATCTTTTAAAAAATATTTTCTAGAAATATTTTCTGAACGTTTGAAAAACATCATGAACATCAAATAATGTTATAAAAATGTTTTTTGGATGTTTTCTTGCAAGTGAGACTGTGCCTAAAAAATGTTTTCAAAATGTTTTAAGAAGATGTTTTTGGTTGATATCTAGATCATATCAATATAAAAATTTCTGTTCTTTTGATTGAGTTTCCTGCTTTTTTAAATAACAAATCATTAGTTAAATTAATTTATACACAGTGATTAATTCTATATACAAACAAGAATAAATCAGTTGTTTTGCTAAGCATATGAAATTCAATTCAAAGTCTCTAAAAACAAGAAGTATCTACAAATTTTGACACATCCAAAATGGCAGACACAATTCATCATGGTCAAGCCACTTACCAAATATGAAGTCATTCTGTTCATCAGCATTACTAATTAAAGTAATGAAAAATTTGAGAACATTCAACATTTTGAAATACAATGTATAAGCAAACAGGAAACAGGGGCCAGATACAAAAATGTTCACACATCACAGTTCATCACTATCAAGCAGCTCATTAAATATGAACTCATCTTTATCAGCAGTTTTGGGAAAAACAGTGATGAAAATATTTGTTGGACAAAATCCGACAAATATAGGTGGACAGACGACAGACAGTGCAAGAAAGCCCACATTCCAACCACAATGGTATAATGTTTAGTTTTTCACTCTCAACTTTTATTACCTATCTTATACACATCATGTATAATATATGTCAACCTGAACATGCATGACATATATGCCATTGGACATTATGCAAACATTATACACATTTTTAAGTTCAAGTTACATTGACTAAAACTTGTGTCCTCAATTCAGATTTTTCAATACAACTTCTCTTTCTAAACTAAAACACTACACTTCTAATAGGGTAACATCTTAAGTCAATAATCATTGATAATTGGCTGAAGAGATGAGAACAATACACCATTTTACATCAACTATTTGATTTATTTAAGAATACATTGAAAAAGTCAATCAATTGTCTTATTCAAAATCACTTGGAATGTCTTGTAGTGTCTTATATCTTTTTCTTGCTGTGCCATGCTTCTGAAAAAAAAATTAATCTTACATTCATATATAAACTTCTTGCACATTCCTTTATTATAGAACGATTCACGTTGCCTGAAGGATATACATCCCCTCCCCTTTAAAGTTTTGAAACAAATAACGATGATAGTCTGTCGGAAGGGGACGATAAATGGCTGACCGTGTTAAGAGAGAGCAATATGCCACGCTGAACTTCATTTAGTTATTAAAAAAAAAACACATAAAAAACCTTAGACTAGATAAGTGTCCAGTCAAGAGTCTTATTTCATTATACTCGTTGATTGTTGTCTATAGATCATATTTTTTTTCTTTTATTGTTTTGTATAAATCAGGCTGTTGTTTTTTTTTAGTTTTCATTAAATGCATTGTATCATGTAGGGGCCTTTAAAAGCCCTGCTACATAATGTCATTAAACATCTTATTGTCCTTTTTAAGTGTTAAACTCTGTAGAGTGACATAGTTTATAACTTGTCATTTGTATCTAAGGGCATATGATACAGTCCTAGAAGTATACTATAGGAACATAATAACTTATCGAAGTGTTACGCATTGTTTTCGCAATGATGATAATAATATAACTTAACTTCCGAGAAACACACAGATGTCATTAAATGAGTTGTTTATATGTATTTGAAATACTTCAAAGGAAAGCAAATATGTTGTTGATGAAAGCACACTGTTGGACTAAACATGCTAAAAGATTGATTTTATAAACAACTTGTTTCTATTTTGTCACAAAAAAAATAATTTATTCAAACATCCAGATATCTTTTCTGTATTGTATGCCCTTAATCTTGAATGTAATGCATTGTTTATGCTAAATATTTGAATTAAATATGGAATAACAGTTATTCTGTATGAAAATCTTACTTCAAAAAAAAATTCTCCTGAAAGGTTGTAGACATTCCATAGAAACCTGCGCCACTCCCAAATTGTAAACCTGCATATTGAACTTGTCCTTTGTGGCTTTTCTTTTAGCTCCTGTTAAAAAATAAAAGATACATTGTATGTACATTTTGTGTATGAGGCAATAAATATAATTTTAAGCAACAGTTTATATTATCTTGCTTGTACTGAAGTCTTACATAGTCTTTGTAATGTTCATTAACGCTCTTGCTGCCAAAGGGACATTTATGGCTTCTACACACAAATCTTGTTGATTGTATAGAACGTCAAAGGTCTATGGTAACGTCACAATACTGAGGGGCACTGACAACGTCAAAAGACGGCGCCAAAAGGACGATTTTGGCGGGAATGAAGCAAACTGAATAAAATGCATTATTTGTATACTTAAAACGGATGTCAAAAAATGATACAGGATCATAAGCTTGTTAGTACTATAGTACCAACTTATTTAACGTGTTTACTAATTATCTAGTTAGTCATTTTCATGTAAAATGTTGCATACTTTCGAGAAATTTGTTAAACGTTTTTTTCATACATCTTTCAATCAGAATATCTCATATAATAATCGCATTCCTAATAAATAATCATAGAAAAGGTAACTGTTATATTTGATCACGCGAAATATTAATATTCACAATACACGCTTTATTTAAGAGAACTGGAAAATTTCTTTAGGGCTCAAATGCCGCGATTGAATTCTCAGTGAAGATTTTTTTTTTGTAAAAGTACACAAATGTTACCTGATATACTTGTATTGCCAAACGATATTTCAATACATTTTATACCCATTTCATCATTGAAGCACTAATCTAAAAATATTTATTTTCATTCGAAATGGGGATGTTAAATTAGCATGTTACCCAATGATTTCTTTTCTTTTCCTATCCTACATATCATCATTTCCCAGTGGCAACCTCAATTTTCAGCCATTCATCACAGATCTTTTACTTTGTAGGACCCACTGAGCAACATATTTATCGTACATTAAATTTCAGACGTCTTTAATAGTGCATGAAATACTTGCCACTGAACGTTGAGAAGAGAACAATTTATCAATCAACAGATTTTAAAAGATATTTTGTGTATGCCAATTACAGTGTGTACTTCATCATAGAAAATGAAAATGAATTATTATTGATGCAAGTTCATTTGTAGACAATAGAAATTAATTTTAGAGATTTTTTCCCTCGCTTTTCTGTTGTTCTTTTTTTAAATTCGTATTTTCAAACATTGCTCTAAAATTTAGAGCAATAAGTGGTCAACAAAATAATAATAAACATGATTAAAAAATAAACAAAATGAATATGGATAATAGCGTCTATAAAAATTATTTTCTCGCCTACCAAAACAAGGCTTGGAATGAAAATTTTAATCTGACACGTTTGATACTTTACAACAAAAAGTAGTTCATAGAATCGGCTGCTCGGAGTTTTTATTTATTTTTATTTGTACACGCATTGTTTTTATTTTTATATTTATTGATGGCCATTGTTTTGATTATATAATTATTTGAGAGATTTTTTTACTGTATTTATCAATTATAACAAGGTTTACTAAGCTAATCGGATAACAAGGATAAATATATTTTAGTATTTTAGAGGTGGTAAAGAATCAGTTATGCATTTCACTTGACAAAGATAAAACAAAAGCGCTTATAAAGCTAGTAGCAATGGGTATATTATTTTCATTTTTTTAAAGACAAGAAAGATAAAAAAAAAAACTATATTTCAAGGTTAAAAGTTGTATTTTTAAATAATATTGTATTAAAAACATCGCTTATAACAATATTAGAGCAATAGTTTTCATAAAATTACTTTACATCGCTTTTCATAATATTACGGCTTCATAGACGCGGGAAAAATTATGGACGGCGGGAAAGCGCTGTTCTACAGAGAGGCACAAGTTTTGCAACGTCACAGATATGAAACGTCAAGATGATTTTGGCGCGACAAAGCAAGAAAAAAACTCGGCAGCAAGAGGGTTAAGCTGTTAAGGGAAATTTAATTTACTGTTTTGCAAATACATACATACACTGATTTTACTAGAAAAAAATTCTCCATATTCAAATGGTGCTTATATTAGTGTTATTGTAACTTGTTTGTGTGCCTCGGAAACAAGGTATTGAGTCATGCTTATTGCAATAGTTGCTGTTGGTTTAAGTCTGTAAAATTTCTTTTTCATAATGTGTATTTAATGTAGGCAGTTAGTTATTTTGTTTCAATTGTGTTGAGAAAAAAATTAACATTTGTTTGTCAAGGCTTTAAAGTGGACTATATGGCATTGGTTTTCTCAGTTTTGAAAGCCGTACAGTGACCTATAATTTCTTTTATCCAAGTCATTTAAATTCTGGTGGATAGCTGTCTCATACACCTTATCGCTATTTCAGTATTTGGAAATCTGTCCCGCTTGAACTTTTTACGTCAGAATACGTCATACAATAATACACCTTATCGCTATTCCCGCTTGACCCGAGAATCTATCCTGCTTGAACTTTTGACGTCAAACAACAATCACTTTTCCATTGTGGCATCAGATATTTTTTATGATGACGTCAAAATTTTAAGGGAACTTGTGACAGTTGTGTGATGTCCAGTAATGGCGGACAAATAGCAATAAGGTGTATTACTTTCAATTGTGGTGTCAAATATTTTCTAATATGACGTCAACATTTTACGGGAACTTTGCCAGTAATGGTGGACAAATAGCGATAAGGTGTATTGGCAATCAAACACACAAGCCACATATCCTTATAATTTTTTTATATTAATGAACAAATTCATAATTGTTGTACGTAGATGCTTGAACAGTGGCGGATTTAGGAGCCCCGACCCCCTTATGGAGCTACTTATAAGATAAATGTATAGACTATTTACAAGTATCACTCCAAACGTTTGCTTGCCTTGGGCAAGGGCCCCCCTTTTTTCAAAACCTTGATCCGCACCTCCAGAAACAGATGTAATTTGGTTCCGATTATGATTGAACACACACAATGAATGCACAAGTTTCATCTTATGCCAAAACAATTGTTCTTACCAAGTGAGTATATATCGCGTAACAAACACTTTTCTTGGCTGTCTTTGTTGTTATCCTGTCTTCGTTCCGAAATTCAAATTTCAAAATCATTTCCGGTGATAAAACAAAAGTCGATTCCGGAAAAGGTCGGTTTTCCGTAAGGCATATAAACATACGAAAATAGAACTTAGTACAGTTACAGTTTTCATTTCTTAATTTCTAAAATATACACGAACGAAATGAATAAACATTAAAGAAAAGTGATTGTTTATTAATACATTATTGCTTAATTTAATGTTGACTATTTTGAATTTTAAAATAAGAAGGAATAAAATCTGACTTCAAGGATCTTCAAGATATGAATTAAGGATTTCAACCATAGTATCTTGCTTGTCATGATATTGATGAAATGTAGTACTATAACTTATCCTGAAAAAAAACGAGATAATTCCACAAAACGTTGTTTGTGGGGTTTTGAATAAAGTTTAAATAAAATGTTATTTTTATATCCGTAAAATGTTGAATAAAATATCAGTAAGACTATTAAGTAATGTGTATGTCAGAATATTTTATAGAAAACATTTAGCTGATATTTTTCAGATGTTTTATGTAAAACATTTTAATTTTACGTTATAAAACATTTTATGCAAATAGCAAAACTATATTTTCTGTAAAACATTTTTTTGCAGAATGTTTTTTGGATATTTGGAAAATATTTACTTTAAATGTTGTTAAAATATAAAATACCAATTGAAGAAAATATTATTTTTTTATATTATAAAATATCTATGGGATATTTTAGAACAATGTTTGAGAACATGAATAAAAGATATTAGCAAATAATATTTTGTTAATGTTGTAAAAACATTTTACTTAAATGTTAGAAATTAAACATTTCAAAAACAATAAAATAAACATTTTTTTTATGTTTAAATGATATCTTATTGAAATATTTTGTGAGAGACGTCCATATGACATTTAAAAAATGTTTTTAAAATGTTGTGTGTTTGCTGGGTAGTCAGTACTTCAGAAAGATGTTTATTCAAACATTTTGATGATCCAGATATGTATAGTTCTTTATATGGAGTTTTGTGAAGTTTTGGTATCCATTATAATGACGGTAAATTGTCCTCGTTTTCTTTGATTTTGATATCAAAAGAATGAAGGACAGATTTGTGATTTTGTAAAATTTCATCCGTTGAAAATGATGTTAAAGAATATGTAGGATTACCAGTTGTGCTGTTTATTCCAAGCTCTGTTGTGAGAGATTACAAATAATGTATTTTAAATATGGAGACAATATTATTGGAGGCTTTATCTGCTGGAACAACGACATATTTGTCATGTAAAGAGGATAAAGCATCCACAACCTCCGGATTCTTGAAAGGGTTATATAAAATAACGGCAACAGTAGTATACCGCTGTTCGAAACTCATAAATCGATAGAGATAAAAACAAATCCGGGTTACAAACTAAAACTGAGGGAAACGCATCAAATATAAGAGGAGAACAACGACACAACAAAAACACAACATTAAAATGTAACACACACAGAAACGAACTATAATGTAACAATGGCCATTTTCCTGACTTGGTACAGGACATTTTAAGAAAAAAATGGTGGGTTGAATCTGGTTTTGTGACATGCCAAACCTCCCGCTTTTATGGCAATGTTAAATACAACATTAAAATGACAACATTACATGACATGACTACAATACAAATAAATGGGAGAACATATAGGACAAAGAAAAACACGAATAATAGCTAACAAAAGGTACCAGGTTTAAAATTTAATACGCCAGACATTGTGCTCATAGTACATCGTAGTTTCTGAATGCGCTTCTGAATGCATGATCGAATAGCTTTAATCCAATAAGACAAAGTGTCCAGTTCTGGTTCGTCTGGTTCGCGCTTTATCCAATTTCTTGCTTAGTTCTCAACTGCATCCAGCTATAGCCTGAAGTTATATATATATAAAGCCAAACAAGTAGAAAGTTGAAGAGCATTGAGGACCCAAAATTAAAAAAAAGTTGTGCCAAATACGGCGTAGAAATATTCAGGAATATATTAATTCTACTTATATGATAATGACAAATTTAAACAGAAATCTAAGTCTTAATTTCACGTTAATTTGTTTCAATTTATTTATTTTCTATTTATTTAAAAAAAAAAACATCTTTCACTTTTAGGATCGCAATTACAACCATCTCATTCTCTTTCCAATTTTTAATTATTCGTATGTATTCGCAGGTAGGTTTATGCTGTTCTAGAGTAAATCGGCTATTTATTCAGAAACAAATCATTGACATTTGAAGTTATTGTGAATTCAAGTATAGAAACTTTCATACCCTAAACTTATTTTTATCATCCCTTATATCATCCAAACTTTAAATTTCTGGTGTCTCAGACCCCCCCCCCCCCCCCCCCCCCCCAATCAAGTGACCATGGTAACGGGTGACATTCAAAGATGGCGTGTGAACCTTCAACTTCAAGAGCCCGGTGCAAACCAAAGAACTACACCAATGAATGAAAGTAAAGTTGTATTCGGTTCACAAAGATATTTTATCTTTCCTGTAACAGCTGTTTCCTTCTTAAAATATGCTTTTTTTAATAAAAAAAAAAAAAAAACACACACAACAGAAGTGACATACTATCCAACCATGCCCATACCAAAAGTCAACTTTCTTGTCAATTTTGAAAATGTTGTATTCATTTTAGAAACAAGAAACAGCAATCTTCGTATTCATGAGCTATCAAAGAATAAGTTTGCACAGTTTTAAAGAGATAACTAGATTAACGGGGTGCGCCAATGCGATATATATCATGTTTAATGATACTCGAGTTCTTTTGCGGCATTTTGATAGATTTTGACTAGAAATGAAAACACATTAAAGATGTAAGAATTTTTTTTTTTTTTTTTCATTTTTATAATTGAAGGTGTTCATTAATCTTGAAAGAATCACGGTGCATACGAATGTCATGAGGGAAAAAAAGGGGGAATACTCTAACGTTACACATTGTAAGATGTTGTAATAGCTTTCGTAACCCCATGTTCATTTCTAACTCCACATATGTGCCGATTGCAAATAAAAGTAACTTGCATACTTTCTATACCTCGATTCTCATAGGGTTTTTACGACTTTAAGATGACCAAGGATTGGTTTTGTAAGATACCGAGATGACAAACGACAAACAAGTCTTTCTTGTGGTTTTCCATGATCCATAATAAATGTAGACATATAATATATTCATAATGTTGTTCCGGAAAATTCTTTATTCCTTAAGTTGTCTTTTCATTCACATGTTTCATGCAAAGAAAATTCCGATATTCATGTAATATGTTGTGAATTACACTATATACACTAGTAATTGCATGCAGTTACCAGCCTGCCAAATATGATGTTTGAATTATAATTTTCACTCGTTTTACAGTTTTATGCATATATTTAAAATTATCTCAGTAACTGGCATATGAAACATAATGAGTTTACATTTCTTTTCATTTGTTGATCTTACAAGAAAGAGGTGCACAGTCATTTTTTTGTTTAATTCTTTCATTTCTTTGTCAATGTTCCAGAGTCAGTTTTAACAGTTATGTATTTCTTTCTTTTTGTTGTCATAATGAAAATTGCTACATTCCAAAAATCAACTGTGGCTTGGGGTTATTTTATATTCAGCACTGGTATAGCTTTGTTATATGTTCTCAACGTTTTATCCTTAAAACATTCATTTCACTTACTTTTCATGCATATATCTAAACCTATCCCCATATATGGTTATAGATTGTCTGACAATTTCCTTGTGTGTTTTTATTTTCAAAATAAACAAGAGGTTACTCTTTTTCTCTGAATACTTTTTTCCAATTTCAGTTTTAAAAACTTATATAGCTCCATTGCCTCCAACTCATCTTAATCATGCCAAAACATGTACTGAAAAAAAAATGTAAACATTTAGTGGCATTTTACAGTTATTGGAATTCATGTTTTGATACAAATAGAAAATTTCAGTCAAAATTGTGCGTTCCTAAATTATCATGGTATTAAAGGTAAACTTGACAACAAATTCTACATTGAATTAAAATGAACTTTTAATTGATGATTTTTCTGTAAAAGTACAATAAGGTTTTAGGTACAACTTACTTCAACTTATATTTACCCACCACAATGCTTAACCAATTTGTTACCAGTCAATATGACTCAATATTGATCTGAGTGGGTGTGACTCAATACAACAGACAAGTTATTATATATAAACCTAGTCTGAGGGTCTGGATGGTGTTGACAGAATAGATAATAATTCATAGAAGCAAAAAGTGTAGAAAAAAGGTCTAAAAATAAATAATAAAAACGGATCTAAAATTAAAGAGAAAAAAAGGGTGTTAAAATACAAAAAATAAAATTATAGAGAATAATGGACGAAATGAATAAAAATAAAATAAATGGTATTAGAAAGTCCTCCATCATTAAATTCGAACTAACGACATGCATACGAGATAAATTAAGGGTAGAGGGGAGAATAAAGGGGAAAGCTGTCAACATGGTGTTCGGACTTTTTAACAAATGCCCCTCCTTAAATTGCTGACCCTAAAAAGACCTTATTTAAAAATATGTTGACCCGCATTTGTACATGGCAGGTCAATCTGCAAAATGTCGACATAAAGTAACTTAGTCAATGAATAATAAAGATATGAATGTTTATACGCGAGTAAAATAGTGTTAAATTGCATAAATCATTCATAGAAATTGTGTCTATATTGTATACAGACTACCCTCGTAATGTTGCTAGCTTAACGTGTAACGAATAACCCCATTTTTAGTTGCATTCATACTCAATCGTGAATGACATGAATATCGACGATCCTCGGCAGTAGAAAGCTAGAAAGCTAAAATAATATAAAATAAACTTACTTCAAAATATAAGCAACATACTTCTATATTAAGGTGTTTTTGTGATGACACTCATAACAAGGACCCCAATCACTTGGTCGTGACAAGCTCAAACTTGACGTTGACGAAATGTTCTAGCCAATCATTTGTCAAATAGGTTAGTCGATGACGTCAAATTTAGATTGCGATGCAGTTACCGAAAATCAGTAACTAATTGTTTTCAAGTGCATTAACCAGCCTGCGTTTGTAAAAGACCACACGTTACTTACATGCCACGATTTTTCATATCAGTTAGCAATCTTTTAAACAAAATGTGAGATAAAGATCTACTGCGTTTGAGCTATTATATATATGGGTAAATTAAAATCATGGT